GCGTGGTCTTCCTCTTCCACGTTTTCCAAGAGGCCGATCCTTTAGGAAGCGTTTGGGAATCGCATCATTGGGCATACGAGCCACATATCGAATTACAGAATTAAAAACAAAAAAATAAATAAACTGAAAACAAGATATTTGTCGGGAATGTATTTTCCCAAACCTGTCATATGTGTCACTTAAATATACAGTAGTATCCTACGAAACACCCACTTTCATCTTTTTTAAACATTGCTATTGCACAGGTTCAAAAACTATAATCACATTATAGTTTTCACTTTCGCTTATCTATATTTCGTATAACTATATAGTGTAGGCCTATATAGGCCTGAATAGACTACTTCTTTACCATTTCAGGCTTGGTCCGAGCTCTCAATTAAATTCGCTAGCCCTTCACCTGATGGTATTAATATCTTGGATGTGAAAGAGGAGAATTCTCGCTTTCACATAGTGGACGTGGTTTGGTCGATTTCAAACGCACCTACTTTGGAGAGATGGCAATATGAGGTGGGGTCCTTCATATTATTAAATAAGAAAATGGAGCAGCATTCAGTAGCAAGGATTATGCTAATTTTCTTGCTAGATGAACAGTGAGTACCAAACATGTTATAACCTACTGACCTAAGCTAATGGCATACCAGATTTTAGGACACTGCAAAAACCGGTGCAGGAAGTTATGGTGGAAAAGAAAAATAGCCTAGAAGAACTGAATGCCTAATTCTGATTATCAAACAACGCTTTCTTATTAAATATTTTTCATTTTTTGAGTCTGTAGAAAGAAATTTGAAAAGCAAGACTATCAAAAAAAGCAGATGTCCGGGTACGTAAATGATAAGTGTCCTTCTGCTCTTTCACAGACTATATCTCTCCGAAATATTTCTTGTAAAGTAGCCTCAGACCAACAAGCTTACATTTTTTTTTGAGCCTAGCACTTTTGGAGTCGTCTTCGTAAATGAAAACAAGCACACAGTTAAATACTATGAGAAAATGATTACGCGCAATTTTTGGTAACGTTCAGATAGAAAAAGGTTCCTTGGACGATGACAATTGCCAATCGACCCAGTAAACCGGTGGTTAGGAAAATAATCTACAAGTCTCGTAGCAGGTCCTTCGTGGGTCACTCCTTCCTCTCCGACCTCAGGCCAAGAACCACCAAGATATCCTACTGGTTTTTTAGCATTTCAAGATCTTCAAGATTCGTCCAGCTTCCAGATTGATTTATAGACTATTATTTACCGCCTCGAGTAATGATGTAGTAAGTGGCAACACTGATATATTATGAAAATCATATCCTCGGCACTATGTAAAAGTAACGAATATAAATCTGTCTAACGTTGCACATTTGTTACTTGAACATGGTGCCAACGATATATCATGTATATATGTAGGCAATTATTACTCTACTGGGTGTATCTCTACCATTATTTTTTTTTTATTATTTATTTGTTTATTGATAAATATTACAATCTGTCTCAATAAAGGACATTTATAATAGAGTTCTGAGAGCACATTCACACCATATTTACAAATTGAAAAAAAAAAATAAGCTAACTTCAAATAATATAAATCTACAAAAGAACAAAATAAAATATCATAGTGAAGAAAGAAAATATAAATAATAGTAATAATAGAATGAAAATAAATGAATAAAATAGAATTAGAATTATCTTTAAAAAGTACTGAAAATAAACATCTTAGATGCAGGCATACCTATCTACCATTAATAGTGTTCCTATTTGAATCATCTATTACCTGAGCTTTACGTCGGCAGACATTAAAATCATATTTTATATCCGAGTTCTATTTTTCTGATAGAGTTTTCTTAAATCCAGTACCTTTTTTTTTCACTTTATTTGTTTTCTTGTAACTTATACTTTTCTGATGCTCTATTAAGGAGTGTATTTGATTGTTTTATTTGACGTTTGTATATATATTTCATTGGTGATATTGATATCTCAACTGGATTAGATTTTAAGTTTTCTAACATGTCTTTCTCGATGGCACATAATCTATTTTCAACTTTTTCGATTGAGGTAAGTTGTTTTAGAAAGTTAACATGGTTTTCCTTATTGGAACCTTACATTTCTATATAGGATTATTTTTTTTCTTACAAGAAAATCGGTCAAAGAGTATCATATGGATTTGTCTATAGATAGACACGCAACCAAATCTGTTGAAATGGAATTAGAATTTTTTTCTTAACCTCCCACACAGATAAAATGCTTCAGTAGTGAGGAAGAGATATATCGGCTAAGTAAGGTCAGTATAGGTTAAGCTGACCTTACTTATACCTCACCACTTTCATTTTATACACAAATATTTGTATTTTAAGATTAATAATTTCTCTATTTAAAATAAAAACTTATAGTAAAAGTAAAACTTATAGTATAAGTCAAGTCAAAGAAAACGCACGCCTATTCGAAACAAGAGGATAGGATTCAGTATAATCTATACTGGACCATAAATGTTTCAAACTTAAAAATCACTGAAAATTATATGAAATCTAAATAATGGCAGTAGGTGTCATACTATCCACATAGGTCGACAACAAAATACAGTTAAATTAAAATTATTCAACAAGTCTAAAATTATATAATCTCGTAAAGCTATGAAATAAGTTTAACCTAACATTGCATATGTTTACTGCCTTACCATATTTTACGTTATATTCTTAACTGTTATTTATATTAGCTTTGATTTTTTGACAGAATCGGCACAAAGCAATCTGTACACTATTTTCCACATTACTTCAACATTGGGTCAAATCGAACATGGCGTACATAAAATGTTCCTTAAGTACAGGAAAATTTTTATAGGAGTGATATTAGACCTCAAGATCTATTTAAATGTTTGTAGGAGTAGGACAAACTATATGATTTAATTTAATTTGATAAACATTCGATATCATATGTAAATAATATAATGTGTTCAGATGTTTTCATGGCTATATAACATATAATGTTTTGTGGTTATAAATTATTTTGCTAATCAACACAATATAATTTATAACCACAAAACATTATATTTTATATAACCATGAAAACATCTGAACACATTAAATTATTTACATATGATATCGATTGTTTATCAAATTAAATTAAATCCTTTGTGGTTTGTCCTGCTCCTACAAGTTAATACAAACAATGACTCAATATTCAGCAGAAAAGTAGGAAATCCAAGTTTTGTGTTTTTTTAAGTAAGTCAAGTTTGTTATTGAATAGGAAGCAGCAACTAAAGAAAAATATTCAATTAAAGTAATTACCGATTGCATCATTGTAAACTAGACAAAATTTACTTCATTCGAAAATAGTTTTTGTCGTTAAAACCATTTTAAAGAGGACCTTTGAGTGGTAAAACTAAGCTAAATTATGTTTATAAAAAGATCATAAATTATTCACGGTTTGTTTATCATCATCCAACTATACTACAGATACCCCAATTTTAGAAAAACTTGCCCGTTTAATAATCTTAAAGTTCATATTAATCAAGTTGAGGTTAATGAGGCAAACATTTGAGATTCACCTGAAGTTGTGTAAAAAAGTGATGTGATTTTATATCCAGTCACCTTTAAAAGTATATCATCTCTGTAAACTAGATAAAATTTACTTCAAATAAAAGTAGAGTATGTCATTTTTAAACCACTTAAAGACACATTTTAAGCGGCTAAACTAAGTTTTGTGTTTAAAAAATTATTTTTTTTTCTATTGATTGTTAAATTTTAAAAAAACTGAGTTTTTTAAAAACAGAACTCAGCTTGGTTAAATGGTTTTAACATTAGCTAACTCCACTTTTATTTGTAGTAAATTTTATCTGGCTTACAGTAATGCTATTGGTAATTACTTAAATACAATATTACTCTAGTTATCGCTAATAAAATCCACGGCTTACTTAAAAAAACATTAAACTAGGATTTCCTATTTTTATACTGAAAATTGGCCTATTGTTCATATCACTCCTATAAAAATTCCCCTGTACTCACGAGATATTCTGTATCGGCGTGTCAACATTTTTGAAATTCGAAAGCGAAAGGATTTTTTTGTAAGTGATGAATAGAATTTGATGAAAACGTTACCTACTTGTTAATATGTTTATCAATTCCTGATATGCTAACAACTTTAGCCCAAATCGAATGTGTGGTTTTTGAGATATTGGAGTATCGATGAAAACTAAATAATTATTAAATTGAAAAGGGACAATTTAGGCACAATCCCTGAAAATTGGATAAACGGTAGTAGATGGTATGATCGTCACATCATTTTAACAACACACAAATAAACATTAAACCAAAATCTGATACTTATATCGTAAACGTAATACGCGGAAGGAAAATTTTGATTCTCAGTACAAAATTATTTAACCTCCCTTACGAAAGCACCTACCTTCGATAGTAAGAAAGCAAAATTATATTTAATTCATAAATTTGATATGATTGATTTAATTGAGAAACAATACAAGACAGTAAAAGGCCTTTATCCACAAATGGAATTTGGAATTCGAATGGAAATTTTCATTTCTGAGCCAAAAAGCTTTTTAACAAAAATACAACGCTAACCCACTTTCGGTAGTTAGGAAGGGCTAAATGAACAAAATATAATTTTTAAACTTATAAATCAATAAATAAATAAAGAAAAGAAAAAATAATGTGGAAACAATACATCACAATGTAAATCAACTTAGGAAAAGCAAAGATTGCAGTCTACGTATAAATTGTTCATCAAAAAATGTTATGAGAAGCAAAACTATTTTCTAGGATAGTACTTTTTTCAAAAATATGTTTCTGATGAATGCGATAGGCAGGCCATAGCGCTTTTATAAGATAATAATCTAGCAATGGTACTAAATGGTTACATTATCTATTATCTGTTTACATTATCTATTTTATAAAAGTCACTGTAATCAGAATTGATAAGATACACCTCTAGTACATCTCCGTCAGTTCTAGCTATCTTAAACAACCGAGATAATTTTTGATTTCAAATGTCCAGAGATCGTAGCTAAAGATGTACTTTATTCTAGAGTTGCTCAAAAATGATTTCTTTGTTTGTTTCACTATTATCGCGACTGTCTTGTATTTACTCCTAACCAAAAATCATGGTTACTGGGCTTCGCGAAATGTTAAATTCATCCGCCCTCTTCCGCTCTTCGGAAATTCTTTCTCTACGGCTTTTAGTATTGCCCCGGCTTACAAAGTACAGCAAGAACAATATAATTCATTAAAAGGTGAGTTGAATAATATTTATAAATTTTATATATTTTTAAATTTTATAAAAGTTAGAATTGACTTTACAAATTGATAATTTCCATACCAAACTAACATTTATTTCTACTATAATTTTTCGTAGGAGACTTTCGCATGTTATACTGCAATCACAGGAGGAAATTTGTTACAGAAAGTAAAACAAACAAAAATTTAACTTCTAACATTTTCTATAGAACTCATTATTGTTGTTGGATACCATACTACAATCTTGATCCATTTTAAAGTTTTAGAAATGTAGTATATTTTTACAACTTAAAGGGCTATAATATTTTCACTTTTTAAATACTTTTATTCAATTAAACGAAATTTCAGTTTGGTAAAAAATGCTGCTTTTATTAAAAGATCTATCATTTTAGTAATATAGGGATGTTTGTATAAAATCATAATATGATAAATATATATATATTTTTTTTTATAAAATTGCAAATTTTTTTCTCTAATTACGTATATTTCAATAATAATTATACATTTTTATATCAACACAATAAAAAGGCCGAAACACCGACCTAGAGGACGACTTGTTCAGCAATAGTTTATTATATTTGTAGTTGGTAATTATATTAGTACACCGTAAAATGGGGAAACTATTCACCTAAGGGTAACATTATTCAAAAATTATAATAAATATTTTGTCGCTAAATTCTTCACAGTGCATTGACTTCTAGTTTAGGAAACCATTACCATATCTATCACTTCATTTTTTTTTTTTTTTTTTTGCTTACGTTACACAAAAAGAAAGAGTTCTAGTTAAATAATTTTAACCATAAAGTGATAATTTCCACATTTTACAATAAATATATCCAAAAGGAAAGATATATTTTTAATTTAATGATTCCTGATATCAACTTTATATAACTTTAATTTTTGCATTACCTAGGTCAACGGTATGGAGGAGTTTGGGGCTTCTGGAAACCTAAATTGCTGATTCTTGACCCACAACTCATTGAGCACATCATGATAAAAGACTTCTCGTATTTTACGGACCGTGAGGTGAATTCCGACGTCGAAACGGATCCTTTGTCAAGGCACTTGGTCAACCAAAACGGAAACGATTGGAAGATCCTCAGGACCAAGCTCACTCCTGTCTTCAGCTCTGGCAAACTTAAGACAATGATACAACAAATAATGGAATGTTCAGATGCTTGTGTTGAACTCATTGCTCAAAAAGCAGCTGCTGGAAAGCCTTTGGAGGTTCTTATAAATAAATGTCCATCAATACTTACTTTATTCATGCATACTATTGAGTACGTTAGTCTCAATCGGTTGTCGTATAACATTGAAAGGAAACAAATCGAATATTTGTGACTTTGAGGATTTTTTCGATGTAAGGATCCAATATTATGTTGTTAGGGGCACTATTTATGAAAATGCATTCTGTTTTAAGGTTGCGCAATTAAAATAAAATGTTTTTATCTATTAATATGACTATTTGTGGAATTTGGTGAGCTAATGATATGTGATTACTGCGTTCAATCCTATGTTACACCCTCTCGTTGTTAGTCAGAGAGTCCATCAGATTTAGCTGGGAGGAACTTCCAAGGAATTTTCTCCAACCATCCCCACATCCGCTATCCGTGGGAAGCTCTCAATAAGCGGTAATGAGTCCGGGCGATGAACTATTAATATACAAATTAAAATTTCATTAATAGTAATTAAAATTACATCTTATTTCAGTTTTATGAATTGAATTAAAAATGCCTACAAATCATTGGGTACACTTTCATAAAAGTAAATGCGGTATGTCCACTCAACTCTCGTATTTTAATTTAATATTATATATTTTCTAAAACTTTTTTTTATCTATTATCATTTTATAGATTACTTAATAATTTAGTATTATTTAGAAGTTAAGTAATTTCACTGTCCATTCACATTCAATTTAAAGAGAACAATTAAACCTAGATTAAATAATCTAGTTCATTTAGTTAATAATCCAGTTTAATAGTTAATATAAATATATTATGTTTCACAAAAACAGTTGGATGAAATTAATTTAACCTAATAATATTATTTAAGGTAAGGGAGGAGATGGCTGGCTTAACAATGGATGTCATTGGATCATGTGCGTTCGGTTTGAACTTAAACTCCATGAATGACCCTAATTCCAAATTCAAAAAAATAGGCAAATTGGTATTTGCTCCATCGAGGGCGGGCAAGTTGCGCTTAGCAATGAGAGCGCACTTCGGCTTCTTGCTCAAGTTGTTCCGTTGGAAGCGCATGCCGAGTGAGTTCGGCGCATTTGTCATAAACACTGTGATGGGTATCGTAAAGTACCGGGAAGAAAACAATTTTCACAGAAATGACTTTATTCAGTTGATGATGGAATTAAGAAAGGAGGAAGAGAAGCAATTGAAGAATGGCAATATTTCGAAAAGTAAGTACTGCATACTTTTGTAATACGCGATAGTTATAAATAGACCGGATTTATGTCAAAAATAAGAAGATACATTTTTTTTTTCTCACTATTTTCATAAATATATAACGAAAAGTGAGGAATACAAAATAATATAAACCTGTTGGTTTTCTTTTAAAAATCACATAACTTTAGGTATATGGATTGGTATTTACTACATTATAAAATACAGAGAAACATGCTGCAGAACTTAAAATCAGAAAAAATAGAATTTCCAGTTTAGTCACTTGGGGCGCTTTCTTACAATAAAATTCTCCGACATGGTCAGGTCGCGATTATATGTACGAAATCGGAAGTCTTCCTGAGATTCCCAGACCACTCTTGGACCTTCGTCGACAATTCGGTGGGGTTTGGCCAGATCTGCTCCCTGATGTCCTGTTCTGCAACTACTTCTCTGTAGCTTTTTCCAATTTTAAATTTCTTATAAAAGTGTCCTCTCACCAAGTTATAACCCATACTGAGTCTAAAGATCACAACTTGCTCTTTCATATACAATTCATAGTAGCCATCAGCAGGGTTATGATGTGGGTGGACATTATTCTACCTTGGGCATACAGACTTATATAGATCCCCATATTTCTGCTTTTTTTGTTGAGATAATATTCTTCAAGTTGTTACCCATTTTTTTATTTTAAATTAAATTAATATACATTAGTTTTTCTGTTGAATAAATAAAGACGATAAATATGTAGATATATCCTAAACAAGTAATAATGTTCTAATTCAAATATTAATACTATTATGTCACTGTAGTGCAGAGTCATGTAAGTAAAGAGAAATAAGATGTGATAGCAAGGTCTAAAAAAAAATATGTGAATCATGGTCTGATTACAAAAAGGAAAGCAAACAATTTAAATTTTGTATTATTTAAAGTGTAACTTTTTTTGCTTAATAGAGATTAATAACTAAAAATTTATTATATTCAGATAAATAAGGATTATATAATAGTCGACAAAATTTTTCTGTAAAATTATACACCCACAAAATAAATGTAGGCCCCTCTCCCAACTTTGGCTAGTTTTAATTACAAAATAAGGACATTATTAGCAATTTAAATTGAATCGAGTTTGATTTAACATTGAATATAGTTTAATATTTATTACCAAACCGGTTTTTATTTTCGAAACCAGTTTTCTCCATGAGTGAGTCATCAGGACTTTTTAGAACTATTTGGCTGATTGTTGTGATATCACTAAATAAATAATAATGAAACCTTTGTTGATCCCTACAATCATTCAAAAAATAAATGAGTAATGTTTAAAGTCATAAAGTCTGCATTCTGCTAATAAATTCTGTAACTTTTTTTTCAGTTGTAATGGATGACAATACAATAACTTCAAACGCTTTTGTTTTCCTCCTGGCTGGATACGAGACAACTGCATCGACATTAGGCTATGTACTTTACGAACTTTCTACGAATCCTGAAATACAAGAAAAGGTTTATAAAGAAGTAGAAGACGTCCTTAAAAAGCATAATGGTGAAATAACGTGGGAAGCATTGAATGAAATGAAGTATGTTGAGATGGTGATAACAGGTGAGTAAAATTTTCACTTATTTTAAAACAAAAATTTCCAGCGTCTAGATTTAACCCAATTATTTCTCGTAAGTATACAAGTCGATTCATCGCTTGCTATAAATATTTCCATTAATCATAAGAGTATTAACTATTAGTGCCGTTCAATGTTTTTGTCTATATTACTGAATGAGTGATACATGAATGAACATTTATGAACATCATTTCTGTAGTCGAGGTTGATTAATGGAGAATTCGGAAGGATTCGACAGAGCGTGTTCAGAGAAAAGAGAACTAATGAAGAATGAGGAAGTGATGAGATCTAAATAAAAAGCCAAAGAGAAACCTAGCAGGAAAGTAGCCATAAAGGGAGATGAATCTTTAGATTTTGTGGAAAGAGAAGATACCAACGAAAGGATGAGCCTTCAGACTTTGTATTTAGGACTAAAAACGGATGCAGAGATGTCCATAAAGGGGTTACATGGTGCAAGTTGTGCCATCAGAATTTTTGAGGCAGACATATGAAGTTTTAAATTTTAAGACAACATTCAAACCAGGAAATGAAGAAAAAAAAACAAGCACACCGAGGCTCACTGGCGGATTCAGGAATTTTCTTATGTTATGGGGGGGGCGCACCTCTGTACCAGGTGCCTCACCCACCACTACCAATCTCCCTCTACTCCTTATCTGAGTTTAGCTGCTCAAAAGTCCTCTTTAAATGGTATTAACATAAGCAAACTCTATTTTTATTTAAAATAAATTATGTCTAGTTTACAGTGAAGCAATCGTTAATTACTTAAATTAAATAGTTTTTTTGTTACCACTTCCTATACAACAAAATAGGCGTACATGAAAAATCACAAACTTTAATTCTCTACTTTTCTACTGAAAATAGAACCATTTTTTATATAAACCTTTTGTATTTATTGAGTTCTGCTATCACTCCTTTAAATATTTCCCTCTACTCTCGATATTTCTCTCTACTTGGGTTTAGACATGTAAAAAACTAAATTCCTACACGGGTCAGAGAAAACATTTTACAGCCGAAAAATCCTGATTTATCTGATCTTTTTTTTATTCATGTATTACTAATAACAGTGCATCAAAGCGAAAAACGTATTCTTTAAGAAATTAAAATTATGAGCCGAACGAGTACCTAAACTTAATAATTTGATTAAGTGATATGGTCAATAACCATGGTCAATGAACGCAAATTTTTACCGACATTGTCAAGATCTGAGAAAGATTACTATACTCGTAACTGGCCCTACAGCTTGGAAATAAGTTCTCTAAGAACAAACTTAGAATCAAATCGAAGACCCAATTCATTTGTTTTTAATAAATTTTCCTTCATCATGTTGCCTCTTTTTTGCCTGTTTCTTATTAATATATATATATATATATATATATATATATATATATATATATATATATAAGAAATATTTTTTATTTCTTTATTTAGATATATAATATTTTGCCTCGTGGACAATAATTATAGTGATAAATGAACACTTTCACAATAAGAAAGTATGTCTTGACATACAAAATGAACACTAGACATAATAAGAAATGTAAATGAAATAATAATATAGTAATTTAATGATAAGAAATATAAATAACAACAACAACACTTTAAATAACAAGATAACTGTAGATAGCAGTCCTTAGAGGGCGCATCGCTCGCAAGTACGATTTATTACATTAGAAAATTTGTCTATGAGGATGAATTTTCCCTATATTTCTTTTCATTAAACAGGTGCTTAAAATATTAGTTCTCGAAAGAAAGGTCCTTCAGAGGATATTTGGCCCAGTTAAGGAGAATGGTGAATGGAGTAATAGATGCAACCAAGAACTACCTAACTTATACAAGCAGCCGGATGTGGTGAAAAATATCCGGATTAGGCTGAGATCGAAGGGACAAGTTGTACGAACGGACGAGACCTCAATCCCAAAGAAGCTGCTGAGCATGGAGCCGGTTGGAAAAAGAAAAGTGGACAGACCGAAACTGAGATGCTGGTGCCAGAATACATGGAATCAGGAAATGGTGGAGACTGCTCAGGAAAGCAAAACATGGAGAAAAACTCTTGAGCCAGCCCAGGATCCAGTTATCCAGAATCCAGTTATATCCAGTTATGGATTGTCGAGCTCGAGATAATGATATTGATAGAAAATTCGTCTTAGAGGATGGATTTTCCTATATTTCTCTATTCTTTGAATAGGAGTTTTTTGAATTTTTTATAGGATACTTTTTTCAGAATTAAGTTTCTACCATCCAGAGGGGAGCGCGCCCTCTGGCAGAAATTACTAGTGCTGGTCACGATAATAACTTATTTTTTATATTACATTAGAAAATTCGTCTATGAGGATGAATTTTTCCTATATTTTTCTTTTCTATAAATAGCTGTTATTCAGAACTTTTTCCCAACCATCCAAAGGAGAGAGGGGCGGGCCCCCTGCTGGATCCGCTAGTACTGGTCATGACAACTTTTCTATATCATATTAGAAAATTCGTCTTAGAGGATGATTTTTTCTATATTTCTCTATTCCTTGAATAGGAGTTTCTTGGATTTTTTTTATATGGTAAAAGAGAAGGAGAAAATGTGATAGATTCATACGATAAATAAAAAGTCAAATTGAACAAGGAACCAATAAATTATATAAAATTTACTGATCTACAGGAGGTAAACCTCCAGGTAATAAGTTTACCTTATTAAGCCTCTAGGGAATTTTTCAGTTACTAAGCCCAATAATTTATCATTTTATTTGCCGCAATACTAATTATATGTAATATAATCAATGCTCAAGCTCTGCCAATTAAAGAAGTATCCACCTATATCTCAGAAAGATTTTAACATGTCAGTTCCTAACTTCTTCAGTGTGCAAAAGGCTTGGGAGTTGATCTTAACACACAACTCATAAATAAACTTTTTAACTAGTTCGATGTGACCATATATATATATATATATATATATATATATATATATATATATATGTGTGTGTGTGTGTGTGTGTGTGTGTGTGTGTGTGTGTGTGTGTGTGTGTGTGTGTGTGTGTGTGTGTGCACATCAGCTGCCATATTCCTATTACATAAATACTTTTAAGAAAAGTTCCAATTAAATGATTAACTATCTAATACTTTTTTCTGTTATCTCACCTATACAAATTGTTTTATTCCAGAGACACTAAGAAAACACCCACCTGTCATAGCTGTAGCACGACAGTCAGTAAGGCCTTACAAAATTCCCAACAGTGATTTGGAACTTCCCGAAGGGTCAGTTATCGTCATACCGATATATTCAATTCATCATGATCCGAGATACTACCCAGACCCAGAGAAGTTTGAACCAGAAAGATTTTCAGAAGAAAACAAACACAAATTAGTCAAAAGCACCTATTTACCTTTCGGTGATGGGCCTAGAATATGCATAGGTAAGAAATCAAAACCAACATATATTGCTAGGAATAAAAATACAACCTAGTGTATTTGTAAATTAGATAAGGGTAATTGCTGGAAAAGTAAATCTTTACAATTATTATATTATTGATATTCATAAATAACATTTTGTACAATAAGAAATGTAAAATACAATTATTATTTTCAGGTTTGAGATTTGCAAGAATGGAAATGAAAATAGCCATAGCAAAACTTATTATGAAATACAAATTCAGTTTGAATTCAAAAACAATATCACCTCTCCAATATTCGGAAAAAACAATTTTTTTGGTGCCCATTGGTGGAATATGGGTTGACTTTATTCCAAGGACACACAACAAGGATGAAAAATAAAGACATCTTTCAGTAATGATCCTATCAAAATTTGTATATAGAAAACATGCATTTAAAATGACTTTTATTTTTTTTATTTAATCCTGCATCCAAAAATTGGAAACCTTTTATTTCATAAACGCATTAATAACTAGTTAGAGGTATTAATTGTAATTTTGTTTGTATAACCGAGTAATTTTATGTAGCTAGTTATTGTTTAAGTATATTACAGCTCATTAAGCTCAACAAATCTGAAGTGGCGCGCGCATCACACAACTTATACTTACCATCCTACTTCCATGATGTAACTTCCATTTATATAAAAAGAATTGAAAGTATAAATTACAGACGGTTTATAACAGATTCATTAAAAACAATCAGTTATCATATGTATGCATTTTCACACAAAGAATCTGTTAAATTTAAACGTGATAAAAATAATGGACTGTACAATATTGAACAAAACAAAACCAGGACTAATAATTTATTTTTTCATTGCAACAAATTTTTTTTCTATCTTTCGCGCCTCTACCCTTAAGGGTCATTGGAGGTTTACTATAATTTATATCCATTTGTAATATTCTATTAACTTCAAAAATTCAAACAAAGTATTGACTTTCTTCAGTATCTTGAAGGATTTCTTTTAATGTTCTGGCTAAGCCTGTTTTTTGTCTATAACTTTCAAATTGAGGACATTCTTCCAGTAAGTGTTTCACTGTTTGTGGAACATTATTACATTTTCACACGTGGGCGCTTCGAGACCTCTCAGAAGGTAGCCATGTGTAAACTGGCAGTGCCCAATCGTTAACCGGCAAAGCAAAGCATATCATTTCTCTCATTTTGCATCCTTTCATTCCATATTCCTTCTTCCATTCTGTTTGTAGTCTTTTTTTTGCGTGGTGTAGCCAGTCTTCTAAGGCAACTTCCTTTGGTCTTATCTCCGCCGTTTCTTCTTCACTCCTTGCTAAATGGACTGCTTGGTCAGCTTTTTTATTTCCCGCAATGCCGCAGTGGGCTGGCACCCAAACGAACACTATTGAGATGCCTTTGTTTTTTGCTTCCCACCATACATTTAATATTTCTTTAATAATAGAATTAGTTGGGGATGGGTTGTCGATAGCGGATAAGACACTCCATGAGTCAGTTACAACGACCCAGCACTTTTCCACAGAATCTCTTATGAAATAAAGACTGTTCATGATGGCAATCGAATCTCCTGTAAAAATGGAGCATTCACCTGGCAGTTCAAATAGTAGTTGATTCTCCTTATTTGTTACAGCACATCCTACATTGTTTCCTTCCTTGGATGCATCTGTGTATATGAATTCGAAATTAGTATAATTTTCAGTCAGTTTCAAAAACGATTTCTGGATTTCAATCGGGTACATTCTTGATATTTTGGCCATAGGTCTATTTTTCACTGGTCTATATTTTTTCCAGTTAAGTATTCTTAATTCTAAGATGGATCTAATAACGTTTGTGTCCATGTTTATTTTACTTAATGTTTTAAAAAATTTCTGTTTAAATATGCCATTTTCGATATCTTTGACAAGCGACAAATTATAAAAGGAAAAAAAAAAAATCAATTTCAAAAAAATCTGTATTGAAACAATAAGAAAATATTGAATAAAATAAATTATATTTCATATATCTCAACGAAACAGTCCAAAATTAATCAATCTAAACTAATGCTTAGTTAAAAAAAAATATTACTAATATTAAAAGTTGAAGTTATATAAAACAAAGGTTGAATAATTTGTTTACGTGGTCGCTGGCAGATGAGAATGGACTCCAAACCTGTCATATTCGTCACTTTAATATGCAATAGTATCCTACGAACCACTCACTTTCCTCTTTTTTTTTTCTTTTTTTTTTTTAATGTCTGTTGCAGAGGTTACAAAACGATAATTGCATTATCATTTTCATTTTCGCTTATCTATGTATAAAATTTATGGATAAACGAACTAGATGTATTATTAATCAGAATAGTATTTGGAGAGTTATGAATCTTTCCATAATTTCTTTTTTTAATTAAACACATTTCTTATTGAGTAATATTTGTTTATATTATTTAATAATAATATTATTTTGCCACACTAAAGGGCATTAGTAGTAGTGGTAGTGTAGCTCATTCACAGTCTACGCACAATAAAGAAAAATAATAATACTAAAAGCAAATTTGTATAAAGAAAAATAAATTAAACTAATCAAAATATCACATATTAAATATCCACATACTTTTATAAAATATTTGCTAAATTCATTAATTCAAGAACTCTGAGCCAAGCCTTTATCCCCACTCGTGGAAGGAAAGATAGGATTCTAGCAGATCCCAGCGCCTCTCACTCAGACGCATTACTAGTATTAAGAACCAGTATTCATAATATTAGTTGTTGTTGAGTAGGGTAAGCACTTCAATGACGGACATAGCGAAGGAAATTTTTGTCTTATACCGCCGAAATTATTACAGTTATAAACTTCTCCGTTGGACATTTAGAATCTCTAGGATCTCCTTTTCTATTTAACACTTTAAAATTGAAAAAATATTCATTCATCATCTTTTTGCACTAGTAATGGATATACCAAAATTCAATTGTTCTAGTGATGGAGGTACCTTAGAAAAATTAAAAACGATAAACCTTAAACAATAAAAAACGATAATTATAATTGTTTTAATTTGATTACTTTCAACAAACACCGTCTTCAGTCGAGGACAACACTTCATTTGATAAACCTTAATGTCTATATCGCTCAATTCTTCTATAATCCTAAAAACTACTTTTAACCCTGTAAACAGACTTCAAATTTGTGATTTCTTATTTTCAATAATGAACCATTGTATTCTATCAATAAAACAAAAATTAACTTTATGTCACAAAAAGTACACACTTTTTGGTTAATTATAAAAATAAAGAAATTACCTAAAAAAACAACAAAAATTATCGAAATCAGGCAGCTGCTGGCTGATAAATCGTGTTTTAAACTTTCTGAATCTGTTCTATTGCAAAGTCGGTTCATTATATTTTATAATTGAAATACTTTTTTTTTCTAAGGATAAAGTCGATATTGTTATCTAATACGTTGATGCTGTTATTATTTATGTTGATTTTCAATTTTTTAAAACGATAAAAGAATAAAGACTTTTTAAAGAGAAAACATTTTATGCAATTTTTCGGAGTGCAACAACGTTTTATGGCATGCCACACGTACCTATGTGATGTTTAAATATTTTACTGTGTATTTACAATCAAAGGTAAGAAAAACAATCTACTGAAACTGGTAAAATCGATGGACGTGCCTAAGACCGGTTAAAGCTGTTTTAGAGTAAAACTAAGAATACCATGCGATTTCCCGTTGTATCTAGACTCAGAAATTACAAAAACATAATACATTTTCGTAAAAGGGCAGAGCACCAATAATGGAAATAAATGGGTGTCCATAACTAGATTTGGGTCGATTTTTGATCCAGTGACGGACACTCGTTAAAAGTCCTTAAAATCCTTAATTTCAATTAGATTTATTGCTAATATCGAATAGCTGAAATTCTAAAATGGTAAAATGGTTATTTTCATAGTGAAAACTCATGTTAAAATTTAAACACCTATGAACATAAAACTTACTCTTAGCAAAACTGTTAGTATGAAGGTATGAAACACACTGATCTCAAGAGCACTATAGAAACAACAATGATAGATGGCACTAGCGGATCCAGGAATTAATTTTGGACGGAGGGGGGCTTCAGCCCGAAAGCTTTATTTTTTCATAAAAATAACGCTAATTACTTTGGAAAAAAATAAAGAAACTAATTACCTATATAAAATGTTGTTTAAGAGATTCCTAAAGTCCTTTTAAATGTAATTACACCAACAATAATACTTTATGAGATAATTTTTTCCATAAAACATGGTTATATTTTACCACTTTGGGGGGAGGAGATGCTTCTGCCCCGAAGCTCTCGCCGTAGATCCGCCCGTGAATGATAAGCATAGTAAAATCTTCGTTTGGGAACTTTCTTCATACAGTCAATAGCAGGCATTCTTCAATATAAAAAAACTGAAACCTTTAAATCAACAAAGAAGCTTATTATTTACATTTAAAATCCAAACTATCTATCACTGGACCTCCTGTTCATAATTGGTGCGTTCACCTTAACTCCTTCAAAAGAAACAGCAAGGTTTAAGTTGTAACAGATCGATGAGTTTCAATTTTTAAAGAGGTAAAAAATAAAATAATAACACTTGAAAAGATTCTTTTCAAAAAAATATAAAATAGTTTTTTTCCTGTTTTCCTTAGAATGATTGAGGCTACGTATAAAATCATAGAAACGCTAGTTACTAAACTAGTGAGTCATCATAATTTTTTTTATTATTATTTATTTAATGAAATTCACAACTGTATAAAAATACAACCAGTAAATATGCACACATTAGAAATAATAACATTAACAGACTTGAAGAGATACTACCCAGTGGTAGCACTCCCTATTTGATTCTAGATAAGAAGATCATCAGGCCTTCTTTTTAGACGCTTAGGGATTATCTGGAATCGAGGAAGAAGCAAGACTGGAAAGAATAGGTATCTGCTTGGGCTGAATCAGCGTGCATGGTTTTATTTATGACAAAATATGGGGCATTAAGGATTTAACGAAGGACTTTGCATTGTAAGGATTGGATACGAGAAGAATTTGGTGGTTCGGTAGAGCCCCAAAGCTCAACTCCGTATGTCCATATAGGCCTTATTATGGTTAAGTAGATGAGTCTTTTGTAATTAATTGAAGGTTTACAGCGTTTGTCTAGTAAGTGTTGAAGCAGACGGAAACGTCCAGGAGTTTTTTGTCGTTTCAGTCTAGTATGCAGATTCCAAGTGAGACGTTTATCCAAGTTAAGTCATAGGTAGCGGATTTGTGCAATAGGAACAAGTGGAATATCATTGAAGGATATTGTAGAATAAGAAGTTGTAAGGTTTGTGATATGTTATATATACAAATATCATCGGCGTAGATGGTGATGACTGTGTTAGGA